ATTCCAGCTGAGCTATTCAAAATCTTAAAAGATGATGCAGTAAAGTGCTACACTCAATATGCCAGCAAATTTGGAAAACTCAACAGTGGCCGCAGGACTGGAAAAGGTCAGTTTACATTCCAATCCCAAAGAAGGGCAATGCCAAAGAATGTTCAAACTACCACACCATTGCACTCATTTCACACGCTAGCACAGTTATGCTCAATATCCTACAAGCTAGGCTCCAGCAGTATGTGGACCAAGAACTACCAGAAGTACAGGCAGGATTTTGAAGAGGGAGAGGAATTGGAGATCAAATTGCCAACAAATGCTGGATCATGGAGAAAGCTAGGGAGTTCCAGAAAAACATCTACTTCTGCTTCATTGACTATGCTAAAGCCTTTGATTGTGTGGATCACAACAAATTGTGGCAAGTGCTTAAAGAGATGGGAGTACCAGACCATCTTATTTGTCTCGAGCAACCTATATGCGGGTCAAGAAGCAACAGTGAGAACTGGACACAGAAACAATGATTGGTTCAAAATTGAGAAAGGACTTCGGCAAGGCTGTATACTGTCGCCCTGCCTATTTAACTTACATGCAGAGCACATCATGAGAAAGGCGGGCCTAGATGAATCACCAGTTGGAATTAAGATTGCTGGGAGAAATAACAACTTCAGATATGCAAATGATACCACTCTCATGGCAGAAGGTGAAGAACTAAAGAGCCTCTTGATGCGGGTGAAGGAGAAGAGCGCAAAAGTTGGCTTGAAACTCAACGTTAAGAAAACTAAGATCATGGCATCTAGTCCTCTCACTTCCTGGCAAATAGATGGGGAAGAAATGAAGGTAGTGACAGATTTTATTTTCCTGGGCTCCAAGATCACTGCAGATGGTGACTGCAGCCAAGAATTTAAAAGACATTCCTTCGGAGGAAAGCTATGGCAAATCTAGACAGCATACGAAAAAGCAGAGACATCACCCTGCCAACAAAAGTGCATATAGTCAAGGCTATGGTTTTCCCAGTTGCAATGCATGGCTATGAAAGCTGGACCATAAGGAAGGCTGAGTGCAAAAGGATTGAGGCCTTTGAATTGTGGTGCTGGAGGAGACTCCTGCGAGTCCCTTGGAGTCCAAACCAGTCAGTCCTAGAGGAGATCAACCCTGACTGCTCTTTAGAAGGCCAGATCCTGAAGATGAAACTCAAATACTTTGGCCACCTAATGAGAAGGAAGGACTCACTGGAGAAGAGCCTAATGCTGGAAAGAATAGATGGCAAAAGAAGGGGACGGCAGAGGATGAGGTGGCTAGATGGAGTCACTGAAGTGGTCAGCATGAACTTAAGCGGAGTCTGGGGGATGGTGGAGGACAGGAAGGCCTGGAGGAGTGTTGTCCATGGGGTCGCAATGGGTTGGACACAACTTCGCGACTAACAACAACAGGACAGTGCTTTTGTTGCTCTCTGACCCCAAGTGTGCATGGGGGGCTGGGGTGGATTCCTGAGGAAGACTGCTTTTTTCTCCCTGGATCCACTTCCCATATGCGGCGTTTCCCCACTTCCTTGTTTAGAGCAGGAAAGCAGTTGGTACTGAGGAGTGATGGGTGTGCCACAATTGTACCTGTCTTCTCTCACTTTCAGGTCAGGGAAGGGCCAAAGAAACTGCTCATTTCACTTGGCCACACATGAATGCTTCTTTATTTTAAAAATGGATACACCACATTTAAGGCAGGGCTGCAGCACCTGAGTGCTAGGGGCCAAATCCAGCCTTCTGGCGTCCCAGGCAGCCCTCTGCGGTTCCCAAATGGCCTTCCCCTTTCCTCAAATCTTTTGCCTGTTTCCTAGCTTTCTGTGCTGGCGTGCCTCGCAGACTGCGGTGGCTGCTTCGCTTCAGCACACCCACCATCTGGAAGAAACAAGAATCGGAAATCACTGCGCTGCGCAGCAGATGATCCGCGCAAACACCTGGCAAAGCCGAGTCAGGGCGGCCCTTCCACAGTCCGACGAAGGGGGAGCTGGAAGCACGGCGCCCGCGCCTCCCTTCCCTTCCCTTCCCGCCCGGAAATGGCTCCTCCGCCAGCCCACCTCTTCCCTCGGCGTCCGCTGCAGCGCCTTGGAGATCGGGCGCGCCCTTAGGGCGCCGTGGCTACAGCACGGCGGGAGTTCCTCGAGGCCGGGAGCGGGATGGAAAACGTCCGCCCGGTGAGGGAGGAGAAGGCGAAAGACCCCGAGGCTGGCGGGCTGTGCTGCTGGAGGCTGCGCCCTGGAGCCGCCTTGGAGCACGGGAGCGAGGAGAGGGCGCTTTGGTGCGCGGGGGGCTGCCGCCCTACAACCCAGCTATCCTTGCCGGTCGTGGGAGAATACGCTGTCTAAGGGCGCGATCCTAGCTGGCTGGGGAACGCTGGGAGGTGTAGGACTTTTTTCTGCTTGAGCATGCTTTAGGGTAGCGTCTTTAGCATTATCCACTTAAATTGGAGCATCCAACCCCCGACTTACTTCAAGCCTTGTGTCTCTGCCGCTTAAGGTCCCGAAAGAATTGTTTTGTTTCGCGTTGCACAGCGATCTCCACGGAATTTATTATTTTAGAGTGCAACCCTGTGCATTTTACACAAAAACTACTCATACAACTCCCAGCATTCTTCAGTTTGATCTTTTTTTCTGTCTACACATGCAGAGGTTTGCGTCCTAACGTATTTTTCTGGATTTTTTTGGGAACATCCTCTAATGCTTTTCCCCCCCTTCTCATCTGAAGAAAGTGATATATTTCTTCCTGTTCCATAATACTGGAGTCAGCCCGAGAACACATGAAAGGAAAAACTTCTCACGGTGCATAAACTCTGAAATTCACCCACGAGATGTAGTGATGGCCACCCATTTGGGCAGTTTTAAAGGAGATTAGATAAATTTCTGGAGGAAAGTCTAGCAATGGCTACTGGTCCTGGTGGCTATACACTGCTTTCAATATCCAAGACACTGTACCTGTGTTGCTGGGGAACTTGGGCAAGAGGGTGCTGTTGACCCTGTTATGGACTCTTGGTGTGATCCAGCAGAGGTTTTTTGTTCTTATGTGGGAATGCTGGGAATTGTAGGACCTGTTTTCAATTTAAACATGTTTACTGTGAAAACAAAATGGAGCAGAACCTTCAGTGTCTAATTCTGTCAAAGTTGTTCCACTGTGGTCAATGTCTGAGAATGCTGTCGTCGTCGTCGTCGTCATCATTATTACATTTTATATCCTGACCTTGTTTCCTCTTGCAAAGACACCAAGGCAGCTCCTCCTTTCCATGTCATCCTCACAATGGCCCTGTGAGGTAGATTAGGCCGAAGGTTTGTGAATGGCCCGAAAGCACATGGTGGCTCCATGGCTGAGTGGGGACTAGAACTGGTATCTCCATTCCAACATTGTAGCCACTATACCACAAAATTAGATTGCCGGATGACATTAAGAAGGCACTTGCGTAGAAAATCGGCAGCAACACCAGGGGTTTACACGAAAGCAGTGTCAGGCCCTAAATCAGGTGGAGCAAAGGTTCACTTAATCCTGGGTATTGGAAGTTTATTTTTAGTATAGAATTAACACAAGAAGTCACTGTAGGTATAGCAGGTTTATGCCACATTGAGTCTGACTTTAACTGATATGGGGAAGAAGCAAGTGGTGAGTCTTCTTTGAGTTGTCAGCCTTAGATGCTTCTGATTTTTAGAAAAAAAATCAGCTAAAGAGTCAATCAGATTTATTGGAGCCATGCTCCTTTTGTTTCACTTACGTAATACAAGATCTGGGTCTTAAGCTGCCTAAGAAAGAAGGAATCGTCAGGTGAATCGACAACACGTTAAGTAATCGTCAGCAAATACTTTTTTTTTTATCACACTACTTGCTGTATTTTGAAATGTGTGGTGGATGTTAGGATTAGCTACTGCATTTTGTGCAGCATCTTTTAGTTAGGTTATTTAAGTTACCTTTTCTATCAGCTTGGATTTACTAATAATTGTGCTGCTGCTCTAAAATTGTGTTTTGACTGTTTTTGTTCTTTTGTCTTAGCTCATATTTTTTGTTTTGATTTGATTGACTTGGGTACCTTGGTAAAAAGGCAAGATAGAAATTAATAAAGAAGCACCCCAATCTTCCAGTCAGTGAATTAAAATTGCTTTACATATGATTGCATTTAGTATATGTTTGATGTCCTGAGTATAACTGTGACACTTTAATTTTAGCTCTGTTTATAAATGCAGCTATTGAGAATGTGCTAAAGAGAGGATAGCTGCTTGCTGTTTTTAATATACTAAAGTATATTTGTATTTCCATTTTAGTGTCCACCCCGTGTTCTTCCACCAGTACCAAGGTAAGTCTAATTGATTTCCTGTTGAAATTGCTAGCATAAATAGCTCTTTGGTACACACTTTATGCTGTCCAGATGTTACAAGCAAAACTATTATGTGGGGGCATTTTAGCAGTTCTGGATTTATCACCTGTTTCCAAAGTTAACACACTTCTTTCTCTTTTGTTTCTTTTAAACATCTTTTCTGCCCCGATTTGAAAAATGCTTGATCTGAAGTGAAAACCAAGGTGAGTTTATTATGAAATTCATATTTATATGCATAAAATATTCTTCCAATAATTAGTTGTTTTATGTTATTTATCCTGGTGACCATATTTAAAAATATTTAAAAATAGCTTATAAGAAACACCCTTGAAGGTTCAAGGCGCATCCAGTGCAGAGAGAAAGGAGTGCCAGAGGCAGTTTTTGCCTCTCTGCCCTATTCTTCCAATAATTAGTTGTTTTATGTTATTTATCCTGGTGACCATATTTAAAAATATTTAAAAATAGCTTATAAGAAACACCCTTGAAGGTTCAAGGCGCATCCAGTGCAGAGAGAAAGGAGTGCCAGAGGCAGTTTTTGCCTCTCTGCCCTCCCACGATGCATTTTTGATAGATGTGGAAAAAAGATTATCTATCTGGAGCACCTTGGAAGGGGAGGGAAGGAGGCTGGAAGGGCTTCAAGATACCTTTTGTCCTGGCCACCCCATTCCCTTCACTCCTCTCTGAAGTCACTTACCTGGTGTCAAAGATGTGGGGGGGGGGCATGGGTTAGAGTTTGCCTCTGCCCTCTGATCTGGGAATCTGAAAATCCCATGGCCCCTCCAGTGCTGTCTTGGGGCCATAGGATTCCTCCCTAAAATACAGTCTGAAATTCCATTCCATTTATAAAACCAATTTGTTGTTGTTCTGTGCCATCACATCACCTCTGACTTATGGCGACCCTCTGAATGAAAGCCTTCCAAAATGCCCAGTCCATGACAGCTCCACTTGTCTCTCCCAAGTCCAAGGCTGTGGCTTCCTTCATGGATTCAATGCATCTTATATTTGGTGTTATATACAATACTGTAATTATAGACAGACAAACTAGGCAGTGTACACACTCAGGGGAGACATGGGTGTAGAAATGGGTGATTACTTGGTACCTAAAGTCCGCTACAGTTGGTACTTCCAAATAGCATAAGGTGGGTGCCACCACGAAGAATGCCACTTCTTGGTTGGTGCAACATGTACAACCAGCAAGGCCATCTCTGATTATCTTAGTGGTAGCCCAAGCATGTGCTTGGAGAGGCAAGCCACTGGGTGAGCTGGTCTCATGCTGCTTGCAGCTTTGCATGCCAACAGCAAGGCCTTGTAACTGAATCAGAGGCTAAAAGGTAGCCAGCACAGGTGCTTCAACACCAGGGTGTTACGTGCATGGCCAGGTGCTCCACTCAGCATCCCAGGTGCCTCATTTTGCACCAGCTGCAATTTTAGGGTCAAGTGCAAGGGCAGCCCCACATGCAGTACATCACAGTAATCTAAATGCAGGGGTCACCGCAGCATGGCCTGCCATGGCTGGGTAATTCCTGAGTTGGCCTCTGGTGCTTCTCCCAACAGAAGCCAGCTGGGCTCCTGATGAGGAGGATCATTCCAGGAACTGCAGACATGGCCTTTCTGAGGGAGCGCAGCCCTGTCTGGAACTGGCAGGCTCCCCATTTGCTGTATGTGGGATAAAATACAGTGAGAGCCAGTACAGTGATTAAGAGCCATGTTGTAGGGTAGTTTTTACTGAATTTTAAGTTTTGTTTTAATGTTGGCTCATTTGATTCTAACCTTCCAGACAGTTGGGACTGGGACTGGCTGGGGCTGATGGCTACTGGGCCAAAACCTCTGGATGGCATCAGGAAAGACTGTTTCCATTGTCACTGGATGGATGCAAATTCGTTATAAGCCATCCTGAGAGGAGATTTGGGAAGACATTTTTTAAATAAATAGCATCTAATACACTCTTCCTTTTGCTTTTCCACTCCCTAAGGGGAAGTGTTTTCTTTTAAGAAGTAACCATTTTAATAGTTAATACCTACTATAATCTAGGAAGCAACATTAAATTACAGTCCCACTTACTCTGGGGCATATCCTGCTCAACTCAGTGCAACTTCTGTCCACATGAACACGGGCGGGACTGTAGCTGTCCCCAACCTGCCGCCCTCCTGACACATTGGACTGCAGTTCCCGGCACGGATGGCTGAGGCGCACTGGGAATGGGGCCCAACACACCTGGAGAGCGAAAGGCAGGGAGAGCTACACCTGCTGCTCCTCCTCAGCTGCAGTCCCCACAGTCTTCTTTAGGAGGTGTTAAGACGGCTGACTTGCTGTACAGGGTTATTGTAAGGTTTACAGTCAGATAATGCATGTGAGCACCTGAAATAATTCTATATAATGAGGATGAGGAAACTGTTTCTGTTTTTACTCCAGATGAAATTCCTCTTGGTCGCCAGAAAAGAAAAAAGGCCAAAGGAAAGAACTCACTAGGTAAGAGGCTGATTTAACTGATTTGATACAGGAGATGGTCAAGAAAGGGCATGTCAAATGCTTGAGGTTGCAAGGGGTACACCTGGCAGATCGTGTCATTTTTGTCTGGTTAGTTAGCCTTGGATGTATGACCAGATGTTCTGGCATATAAAACAACCCTTGAAACTGAGAATAGTAACTCAAAAATCAGGGTGTTTTATACACCAGGTGAAAATTTTTCATTTTTATTTTACAATAGAACCCCCATATCCATGGGGGATAGCTTCTAAGCCCCCCAGGGTATGCCTGAAACTGCAGGACCCCTGTGCAAGTGGAAATGCCACAGGTATCTCTAGCAAACAACCACAAATACTTCTAGGGACTCTGCTACACTCTTTGTGTTATTTCTTTGTCTCTCAGTGGATGTGAAGAAGGTAGAGATGTTGGTGCTTTTTTCTTAGAGATATTTCAGGGTTTTTTCTAGATATATTTGCTGGGGGGTTTTTTGCTAGAGGTGTACTTGTGTATAACAGTGTATAAGAGGACCCTTCAAATAGCGAAGTAAAAATTGGGGGTCAACTTATACCCCCAACAAATGACAAACACCAGAAGAACAGCCAAAAATATCAACCTTGTCTTATGCAGTAATCTATTGCCAAAGAACCTGCGCTCTGCACATTTGGAGACTTTCTATACAAAACATTTACTGTGCACCTTTGATCCCTCAATTACAGTAGTTTTTATGTGCGTTACATGACATATCATTCTCTAGAGCCTCTCCCATTTTGTGCAACTATTTTCACAGCTCTTTTTAGATCAAGGAAAGTCTTCTGTTATTTGTGAAGGGTGGCATGAGACCCTTGTGTATTTGTCTAATTCCACTGCACCCCAGTGCCAGCTAATGATTGCATAGTGGAACAGAGAGAAAGTCAAAGAAAGGAAAACCCTGGGAAAAAACACATGTAAGAGATCTGAACTTGCTGAGATCAGAAGCCGCAATAAGTGGTAGGCTAAAAGCCACAGGTAGAATAGTTCTTAGTCATTCATGAAGGAAAACAAATGCATTCGGAATACCATTCCATGCATGAAAGCAACTCCAGGTTGATGGAGGCCCTCAAGCAAGCAGATGGGGGCGGTCACCCCAGAGATTAATCTTGGCAGTCCACCCTGGGGTCTGGAAAGAAAGGCAAGGTCCTATCCAGGATGGGGGATTTTCCCCACCCACAGGGACTATGTTTCCTGTAGATGGTTTACTTCCTCCTCAGATGCAGTGTCCATGAAAGATAATGCCAAATAAATGTGTTAGTCTTTAAAATCCCACAAGGTTATTTGCTGTTATTCCTTGTAAGGCATGTTGCCAGTGGGGCAGGTAGTTGGCCAGACAGGTCAGGAAATGGGTGGGCTGGAGCTCCCCTCAACACGTGGCATCTCCATTCACGTGCACCCCCATCTGTTTATCCCTCTCATCCATTCAGTTGATTCTTTTTTCTTTTTTTCCTTTCTTTTTCTTTCTCCTTCCCTCCAGCAAATGTGTTTCAGCTTGTCTTCATTTTTAAATCAGAACACTAGGCCATTCCCTTTCAAAGACAAGCTAAACATTACTTAGTAGTCTAGTAATGTTAGTCTGACAGCTCCCATATTCTTGAAAACCATTCTTGAGAAGGGGACACGTGTCTGCAGAAAATGGGTAAGGAGGGAATGTTTTCCCTTCCCCTGGAGAGGGGATTTCTGGAGCCTTGTCATCTTTGCACCTGGGGACCTTTTTCCCCTGTCAGCCACTTTCCTTCTGAAAAGTTCCTCAGACCAGACTTCTTTTCTCCCCTTTTGGGTTCTGATCCGGTATTTGCTGGGTAAATTGGGCTCTGGAACCCTGGCAGAACAATGCCTTCTCCCAAGCTACATCATTTTAAGGGGGAAATGGCTAGCAGGGAAAGGGTTCTGTTTTCCTCACACACCCACCCCTGAGCTGCAAAATACCCTCTGCACATGGTGATTTGTAATGGAGAGGTGGCTATTGGGCTGACGGTCCAGATAGCCACAGTTTGGGCCTTGTTTGTTCCCCTAAATCTCCAGCTCTTAACGGCCGGCTTCTCATTCAGACCTGGGTGGAATGCTTCAGACTCAACAGCTGCAGCGCCTTCTGTCAGCTTCCCAAGCCCATTTGCAAGGCATCAAATTATGCCAGGTAGCACGTGCTCTCATAAACCATTTGGATAATTGAGCAGCAGTTCTGTGAGAAATAGATATATTGTTATGGTGCTATATCTTGTAGGAAATGATGTTACAGTGTTAACAGAAGTTATCATTTGATTCTGCTATTCAGATGGCATTGTCCAGGCAGCTGTCCGCCGGCCGTCTGAAAGCAGTGAACCTCTGACACCCGAGCCACAAGATGCTGCACCTCAGAGGAAGCGTAAGAAAAAAAGAGTGCCTCCAGGTATGTGAAGTAATGCCAAAACAATTCAGGCAGAGTGTGGCCCCATTTGGGCTATCGGACAACCTGTGGTTCACAAACTGTGGGTTCTTTGAATGCAAGCTTACCTGCTTCTGTCTATAAATAACCCAGAAATGCCCTATTCCTAAGTTATTAATGCCATTTTCAGTACTGTGAGTTCTTGGGGATTAAACAAGTCAGCATTTTAACCAATGGTTTCTTGCTAGGTTAAATTTCTGGAGTATTTCTCCCTCAGTATCCCAGAGTTCTAGATTCTGGCATCAAAGCAAGTGGTCAAGAGCTAGAACATTTGCTCACTCTCAAACATCCCAAGGTCAATGACTTGTAAGTTGTTTAATTGTCCAAACCGATCAGTACAGCCGTCTCAGCTGTCTTTTTTTTCCTTACCATTAATGCCTTTGACTTCTAGCAGTAGCGCATCTAGAGGGCACAAGGTTGGGGAAGGCTGATATGAAGATATACCTGTATCCACCTGGACATGTGCCAGTTAGGGAGTTGGGCTTGGATCGAGGGGACCCTTGTTCAAATTCTCCCTTGGCCTAGAAGCTTTCTGAATGGTCTTCACCTTGGGCCAGTCATTCCTTCTCAACCTAACTTGCATTGCAGGGCTACTATGTCCCATTTAGCTCCTTGGAAGAAAGGAACAATTTTTAATGAGAAGTCTGAATCTCCAAAAAGTGCTTTGCTTCACCATTCCCTTCTGGAATTATGGCATTTCTTTCCTCATTTTCTAATGGAGACCTGTGGTACAGATTTTCTTGTTTTCCATTTTATAACTCCAGAATCGGAGACATCTTTCACTGAACAGAATGGAAATGGCATGGATCCTTCACCTACTGAAGAAACAGTGACCCGTAAACAGCGGAAAAGAGTAAAGTGAGAATTTTCAACTTGACTTCCCCAAATTATTTCATAGCAAGAAACTTTGTTCTTGATGTTTACACTGTAGTCTATTTATTATATTTATTACATTTCTATATTGCCCCATAGCCCATGTGCTCTCTGGGCAGTTTACAATTATTAAAATCATTTAAGCTAAAATCATTAATACAATTCATAAAATGCTCATAAAAACAGGATAAACAGTGTACTCATAAAATACTATAAAACAAGCAATATGACAACCAGCAGCCATTGGGCAACAACCAGGAACAGCAGTAATGCTTGGAGTCCCCAGTTTTGAAGTGCCCCCCGTGCTGCTAGCAGAGATGAGGGGAAGCCGGTCCCAGCTGTCCCTGAATCCTGTCCCAAGAGTCCTTCTGCTATTCTTGTCAAGGGGTCATCTGGTTTTTTACCCCTTTGTGGGTTATTTTATAGTCTGGATTCTGACAATAAGCTACAGTGAGTTTATTAAGCCCTACTATAAGCCATGGCTAGTTAGGAAGAGGGTTGGATTCATGGCTTAACATGTTTTGTAAACCCAGTCACTGTGGGTAACTAGCCAGAGTGGGATGGTGTGCCAGCCAATCCTATACTGCTTCTGTTGGAGTGCAAGAAGCTGCCCCAACAAACTATGGCTTGCTTTTGGCCCCTGATAGGTTGTTCTGTCCTCTGAACCTGGGCAGAGTCTTCCTGCTTTTGCCAATTTTGTCTGAATCAGAGACAACACTTTGCCAAGCATGTACATTGCACTTTGGAGCACTTAGTACTGGCTGACTTTACCCCCTCTGCAATCATGAGATCATTTCTGTTCCCCACTGCTTTCCCCATTTTTTAAAAAAATATTTATTTATTCGATTTATATCCTGCCTATTTCCTACAAAGGACTCAAGGCAGCTTGCATCATTCTCCTCCATCTTATCCCCACAACAACAACCCTGTGAGGTAGGTTGGGCTGAGAGTCTGTGACTGGTCTAAGGTCACCCAGTTGGCTCCATGGCTGAGCGGGGACTAGAACCCAGATCGCCTGAGTCCCAGTCCCATGCTCTTAACCGCTATACCATTTTTCCCATTTTTAGAGATAATTTTCATGATCTCCATAGTGATAGCTACTGGCGACTCTTTTAAAATGTGTAAGTTGTGCATTGGATGGGCTCCCAGTGTTTTGCCACCTATTTTTCTTTGTTTCACACTGCTAAATGTGTGCAAATATTTCTGTAATTTTAAAATTCATTTTTGCCTGCTTTGCAGACCTGCACAAGTGCATACCTCTTCGTAGGTACAGTAAGCCTAATTGTCAGTTGGATGCAGTGTGAGTTGTCCCCTGAACCACCCACGCTGCATAGTGCATTTGCAGGGTGAGTTGGTATGTTGTGCCATTTCAGGTTCAATTTATGAACTAGCATAAATTTAAATCTAGAAACACCTCCCATCTCCAGAACTCATGTTTTCTGAATAAAAAAAAAATAACAGATTTAGACACTAGTATGTTAAATCCTGGGATTTCCCTTTCCATGTCATTTTTTTGCAGTATGACGAGCTGACGTGGTGAAATTTGTCCTGCTGTCAGATCCCGTCTGCTAAGAAAGCCGCTTATGCTGATACTACCCTAATTGCCATAAGCATCCAATAGGCAAGCTCTGATGTGCTTCAGGTCAGGTGCTAATTCGTTGTACCTGCTGATAAATATGTGGTGCCGATATGCCTTTGGTCACGAGCCCTAAAGGGGAAAATTGTCCTTTCTCTCCTCTGCATGTTGACAGGAAAGCTCGCCCAGCAGAAAGTTCCAATGACCTGGGTGTGGAGGAAGAAGACATCATTGAAGATGAGCACGGAAAGGGTTCAGAGCAGCATCCTGTGCTCTCGGTTCCACCTGGTGCTAGCCAGCCTATTAGCAAGGTGTTTGTTGAGAAAAATCGTAAGTGATTTGTCAGCAGCACAAGAGACATTACTGGGAATTTTTAATCGATGTTTTATTATTATTTCACAGAAATCATGTGACTCCTCATAAGTGACATTAAATGACATCAGGCAGTGTCATTATGATTTATTTTACATGGCTAAACTTGCAGAAGGGGTCACAAGCTTAGGGAGCAATCTTTTGGCCCCTAGACATTATTGGGGGGGTCCACAGGATATTTTGGAGTGTCTGGAGCTGGGCATCAAGCTCCATTCTCCCTCTCCTGCCTCCTTGCAACCGGCATGGAAAGAACCACACTGGTTTCTCTTTGAGGTCAGGAAAGCAACCTTGGGGAGGGGGAAAGGGAAGTGGTTTGGTGGTGGAAGGGGAGGATATTGGAGTGGCTAGGATCCACGGTATCCTGAAGCTTCTCCAGCCTTTTTCCCTTCCCTTCCAAGCTGCCCCCCTAGATGGGTGAAACGATCATTTAGCAAAAATGGAGGGTTAGGAGAACAGGGAGGCAAAGGTTTCCTCTGCATAGGAGGCCCATAAGCTTCTGAGTTGGAGGCTTATGGGCATCACAGTAAGACTGTGCCAAGTGAATTAAGGCATGCCAGTCCAGTGCCACACATGAACTGCTTGCACACCAGGACGGCAGTGATCAGATCTTGTGGCAGGCACACAGGAGATGCATCTGTGTGAAAAGATTCCCCTAAAGACAGAAAGTTTGAAAGCTGCTAGTTCCAAGGTTTAGCCAGTACTGCCTTTTGGCATCCTTTGTGATGTAATGTTTTCATACAAGGTGTGTGTTTACAACACTCTCAGGAGAATAACTTCTTCTCCTTTCCCTCAGATAGGCAAGTGCTGTTTAGTAATTCTGTTCACAGTGTTATAATTGTCATTCTTGAAACCCTGTGGGATTGGTGGGGAGGGGTATTGATCAGGGATTTCAGTGAATGGCTGTTGCTGTTTTTAAATCTCCTCTGAAATCAAAGCAAGGAGCATCACACTTCCTTCAGGCATATGATCAAGCCAGAAGATTCCACTGTGTTACAAGCAGGTCCTGATCGGATTTGTGCCTGGACGGGCGACCACCTGGAGCCCCACTTTCCCCATCTTGAGTTCCATGGAAGAAGGCAGGATGTAATTTCGGGGTGGGGAAATTGTGGCCCTCCAGATGTTTTGACTTGCCACTGGCATGCCCTAGCCAACAGAGCCAAAGAGGAGCTCTAGGCCAAAACATCTGAAGGGCCACAGGTTCCCCACCCCTAGTATACATACAGCTGGATTACCCTGAAAAATACCGAAACTTATCCATTTCACAGCCATCCTGATGAACAAAAATAAAGCAAGAATGGAAATAGACAGCATCAAATTAATTGCTCATGACTTCTCTTAATTATAAAAAGCAAAACAAAAAACAGCCCATTTGCTCCCTTTTCAGTTGGGTATTTTCAGTCAAGACAAAAAGCCTCATATTGCCATTCTTTGGATGTTTATTCGAACATAAATTTAGTCTAGTTAAATGCTATTTTCTCAAATTTGTGATCCTGAGAGAGCACCCTCAGGATCATAACAACAGTAGGAATATTGCATAAATTGATAGCGTCTGATTGCATTGTAAGGAGCCACGAATAGATAGCACTAGCATTGGTTATTCTGACAATTTTTTAAATACCATTTTTTGTTCTAAGGACGTTTTCAGGCAGCTGACCGCAAAGATTTGATTAAAACCACTGAAAACATTGATGTGTTTATGGAAATGAAAGCTGCTTGGACAACCAGGGATGTGGCGCTTTCCGTTCACCGTGGTTTTAGGTATGAGATTAGTCCCATTTTGGGGTCATTCAAAGAGAATGGGTGGTTCAGTTGAATGAAAATCACTGTTAAGCCTTATTCCTGAAATCGCCATTAGTTTCCCCCACCCTTCCCATGACAGTATAAATCTCACCTGCTTGTCAAAATGTAATTTTTTAAAGTACAGGAAGCAAAGGTTGTGACACCAAGTAAAATTCCAAAATCCATATGGTAATACCTGTAATACCTTTATTTATCAACAAAAGAATTCACAAAAGAACCGCATAGCTGAAGGAAGATCGCAAAAACTTCCACAATTATTGTTGCTTGTTTACTATATAATCCAAATAGCTATCTTGTTTTGCAACTAATCCTTTGACCTTGTTTTAGAGCTGTATGTGGATAACATTTTCCCTCTGCAAAACCAGAACAATCTTGATAGCACAAGCTACAGTTCTGGAGATTCAGCTGTGCCTAGTCCAGCTTTTATGATGTTGAGCTCAGTGACAGCCATTTCATACCGAGGCATCAAATGCTGGGTTTACTCTGGGGTTGCAGCCCCATGCTTCAAACCCATGCTGGTAACATCTAGGTAATCACAAGACCAACTGCACTATCCAGCCTAACAGAAACAGCTTGCAATGGATCCAGTGGGTGGGAAAATACTTGTGGTGCCTATCGTGGTGCAGTGGGATGTCATGCATGCATGCTCAGATGAGATTCCCAGGCATGCACCAGAGATGGAGGGATTTGGTGGGAATGGCGGCTTAGACTCGGAGGAGGGGAAGTGGATAGTTGACCCGGTAGTGGCTGAGTGCTCACTCTGATATTTGAGTTGTTGAGTCTAGTGAGGCCCCAGCTGCCTCACTTTCCCAGTGAGTCAGCTTGAGCCAACTCTGGATCAAAGCAGTTCAAGGACAACCATTGAGCCCCCACACTCCTAATTGTGGGAAAAAAGCCAGCGGAGAACAGGCTGGGGAGAGGTTCTTGGGAGGAGAACTTGACACCCCAGGAGACATGGATACAAGGGCCCGTCGACACACCCACCGACTAGACCAATTAGGGGCTCAGTGGGAAGAACATAGGCATGCTCGCTTCCATAGTGCGCCCCCCTCCAGAGACCGGCCCCGAAGGGTTCATAAGCAAAGCTTTGGGTGAGGGGGGTCAGAGTGAGGGGTCAACTTTTTACCCGGACTGCATGTTTCAAGGCGTGTGAATATGTTGTTTCTGTATGGAACAAAAACCCTTTTAATAATTGCTGAAATGCCTGTCTCATTTGGGAGGGGACACCTAGCTCACGGCAGGGAGCTTTGGAGCAAACATCTTGTTTTGCAGACTCCAGCCAGCTGTACTCCTACATCTTCTGACTTCTGTCTCTTCCTAACTCCCTTCAACTGTCCATCCAAGCATTAGGATTGGCCTGTAAGGTGCTGTGTGATATATTACACAGAGTGAAATGCTGATGGGTATTTGTGTGATCACACGCATGTCCAGTGCATGTTAATTCCTTCATGGAACAGCAAGAGTGAGAAGCACCCGTTAGTCACCAGGCATAATGGTTTCTTGCCGTTCTTTTCAACTAGCTACACGAATATTTGAGTGGGACTGATTAACAGTAAACGTTATTTTGGGTCTTTCCTCCTTGAGACCAAAGAGATTTCAAAAACTAGTAATAGGGACATAACCAATGGAACTAGAGCTATAAAATTGTATTAAGAAACTTGTACTTTAAGTGCAAAAGCTGGCATTGTGAGGTTGGATGCCACTGCTTATCTAAATTGGGAAAAGAATATAGGATGGTGAAATCACAGAAGTATGTTTCTCTTTTTACAGTTTATGACATACTGAACATTTTAACTTTGTACAAGCTTGAAATCTAATATGCTTTCATTCATTTAGGACAATTGGACTTTTCACTCATGGTTTCCTTGCCGGCTATGCTGTCTGGAATATTGTAGTGATTTATGTACTGGCAGGAAACCAGCTGTCAACTGTCTCCAACTTGCTGCAGCAATACAAGACTTTGGCATATCCTGCTCAGTGTCTTCTTTACCTTCTGCTAGCAATCAGCACTGTTTCAGCATTTGACAGGTACAGTTGCATTCATTTTTCTAGCCTTACACATGTGACTGTGGTTTCCTTCTAAAGTCTCCTAAAGAAAATATATGCAAAAATTATTAAAAGACCGATTGTATGGCTTGGTATTGTCGCAACAGTGCAGAGGTGGGGCTCTGTGGTGGCCTTTAAGATGCAGTGTATGTGAAATGGCTCCTAGTCCTGCGATACCTCTCTGTATCAACTGTTCCCACACTTTTCCCAATTCTGCACCCGCATTGAGGGATCCTGTAACTGCATATCTGAAAACAGCAGCAGTTGCTTGTAGGGTCCCACTGACCAGCAGTTCTGCACTGGAACACTGTTGCCACTAAGACTAGACCATAGCCCAGGGCTCCATATGGTTGCTACAAAGCAAACTTCAAGCAGAAGCCCAGCATATTGAGAGCCAAATTCCAGCAGCTTTCTGCATTCCAAAGAAGGCTCACTTCACTGTGCATGTGGTGTAAACAGGATGCACCAATGCTGCAATGCAACCACTGTTACTTGGGGGCCCTCCAGGCCAACTCGACAATCATCTGCTCTATGTTAGAGCAAGGGTAGGGAGGGGAAAAAGGGGTCTCTTTTTGTGGGGGGTGGAGAACTTCAAAGAGATCATTGGCAAACTATACCAAATATCAAAAGAGGAAGGAAAAGGTTCTCTTTAAGCTGCTGAGAAGCAGTGGGTGTTAGGAAATGAGTGAGCAAGGGACAGCAGTGGGGAGGGAATAGGAGAAAGTGAAATGAGCAGGTCAGTGTTGCCTGCCCCAAGGGCATCTTACTCAGGCCTGGCAGTGCCACCATGCTGGAGTGATACCACTGTAGCGCCAAAGATTGGGGCTTTAAGATGAAACTTCATTCCATTAAAATATTGTTGACTTCCTTGGCAACAAGATCACTGTGTATCAGACTTCAAGATCTGTCAGAATAAAATACAGGCATATCAGATTGAAATACACTGCATTGATTCAATTGGTGTCTGCTTGGCTTGTTTTTGAACAAACACATTTCATCTTCTGTATTCAGGATTGACTTGGCTAAAGCGTCAGTGGCAGTGCGGGGCTTTCTCACCTTGGACCCAGCAGCCATTGCTTCTTTCAGTGAGTAAGACAGCACAGTTTCAAAATGGTATTAGAAAACTACAGACATAAGCAAGTTTTTACATTTCCATTGCGGACTTAGAAAGCTTCCTCACATTCTTCCTTTTGATCTCAATATCCTTAATGTGTTTTCTACTGAGGTCACTGTTTCCACAAAGACTATTTCCATATTTTGCTTGATAAACATAATGTTAGGGGATTGAGCATCTGTTTATATAGACTTTTGTTTAGGAGGGCTATTTTGATGGAAGTAAAGTACCTTCATGGATTGATAGCTCACAGTTCTATTTCCTTGATCTGAATATTTAAGGAAGATCAACTTGAACCAAACAAGCAGCAAGGATATATACTGACCTTCACAGATAGCAAACCAGAAAACATGAGGTTTATTCATTTTTGGTGATAGAGAGGTCTTGGCATGAGTTGGAAGGCTGTGGCACTGGGGCTGTATAATCAATTTCACAATGATATGTTTACGAAAAATCAGGATGTTACTGACTGTTCATTTTCCTCAGTGTATTTTGCTGCTCTTGTCCTGTCTCTGAGCCAACAAATGACAAGTGACAGAATCAACTTGTATACACCACCTTCAGAGAACAGTAGCCTCTGGTAGGAATTGTAACTTTTTCTGTTTAACAGTCAACTATTTTAAAGATTTGCATCATGTAATGTATAAATCTGTGTCATATAGTATGAGATGTAATGTACATATTGTGAACCTTGTAAGGGTCCAATGAATTGCTCTTTTGTTATTTTCCTCAGAAGTGTTGGATATCACATTATTGTAAATGTGATAAATGTTGGATATCACGTTATTACATGCAGTGTTGCAGACCAAGTAGTTCAGTTTTGACCTCCACAAAGTTTTGCTTGTGTGACCTTTGTTTGCTCATTTATGGGCACACCAAGAAAGTCTGATACTTCATTTAACCAGATGCATTTCTCAAGTCTGCTGTCAAGTCTACATTTTTATAAGAAGTATCATTCTGATGGAAAAAATCTGTGCTTTAATATCAGCCTAACAGAAATGAAAGTGAGTAATCTGGTGATGGATACATAATGGTCATTCTGACCTCACAGTAAGGACTTCTTTAAGGAATGTTGGCCTGCAGAACAAGGCAAAGTTTTGTTGCCTTTAGAGTAACTTACTGGAATACCAGAGGATTATATTCCTTTAAAGCCTTCACCAAGCCAGACTAGGTGTGAAAGAATCAGTTCACACATTTGTAGAAAATGAGAGGCTAGTTCTGAACATCCATGTCCCCCCCCCCCCCCCCCGGCCCCACAGCTACCTTCCTGAAACTTATCAAGCACTTCTTTGCTCACTTGAGCTCTGATATTGAAAGCAAACACAGTGAACCCAAAGACTTGGGGAGGAGGGCTGTCAGGAGAGTGCTTATGTCTCTATTTTCCCCTTTTAAGATTGGACTGGAACCTTTTACATGACTGGAACAGTTTCTTGTTTAAATTCATGAAACGGCTGCCACTGTTCAACCATTAGTGAAACCTATATCGCTGCCAATAAAATTTTACCTAATTTCTATTGTACTCTTGATGGAGACAGAAAGCAGTGCCTAATGATTTGATTTCCATAGATTTATAATGACACTTAATGGTAAAGAGACACTTTATATATTATCATATTTATACAGTTTGAACACATGGTACTAATTCTGGTTTATCTTGTTTCGCTATAATAACTGTGTATACTGTTCTCCGCACCCCCCTGCCCCCCAGGACCTCAGGTGCAGAGGAACAGATTCTTCAGCCCTGGATTGTGGTTAATCTAGTGATCGCTCTTCTGGTTGGGATCTCCTGGCTCTTCTTGTCTTACCAGCCCCAGTTAGATCACAGTGAAGGTACAGAACAGGGAACCAACAACTAATGCATAAGCTCTGTGTAACTTTCTAGCAGGTTAGTTCATTCTTCCCCTGTGGAGAGAAGGAGAGTGAATTTAGCTCTGTAGATGGAAATGCTCCCACTGATTCTCTTATGCCCACCGACTCTGTTGCACAAGTGGTCCCCACTGCTTGCACAACAACAACTGAGCACTTCAGGGTAACAAGGGATATTGGTGAACTTGAGTGACCTGTCTCCTTCCAGATACAAGCATTTCCCATGGTTTTGGGGCTGCCCCTACGAAGCACTAAATTTCCCTTGCCTAAGCTGTGCCTTCCATTTGCTCAATGGAATTAGACTTACCTCCTGCAAGGCAGAATCAGCAGGGTTGAAAAGAATTGGGGGGGATGGGCATAAGCACCCCATGGGATTCTGCCCACTGTCAACAGCAGTGACTGATACGTTTAGAGCAATGTAACTGACACCACACACGCGTACGTACGTACCTTGGCTCATGAACTCAATCCATTCCACGACTCTGGTCGCGACCCAAATTGGTTGTGAGCCAAGTCAAATTTCTCCATAAGGTTCAATGTAAATAAGGTTAATCCGTTCTGTAACCATTTTTTTTAATTCACAAAAAATTGAAGCAAAGTGACAACAACAAAGATCGCAGCCATCTCCCCCCTCCCCAGAGATTGTGCAATTCTCTCTCTCTCTCTCTCTCTCTCTCTCTCTCTCTGTATTTTCCCACTCTATTCTAATGTCCCATACTGCTCCTTTTCTTTCAGAATTGATGTTTAATGCTGAAGTAGAAGAATTTCCACCACCAGATAAAGAAGCCAAAGTATCTTCATAATACAGAGAACCTCCTCAATACTGTAGTTATGATACTTATGATGGCTTAGTACCTATTTGTACTTCTACATTTTGTATTTTAAAATGTATTTTATATATTTACTTTGCATTAATATTACACTTATCCTATTTTAAAGGTCCATAATTGGCTAATGCAGTGTTAACATTCTTTTTTCTTAGGGATCATCAGTAGCAGTATATGAAAGGAAAAAAGAAAGTCAAACGACCTCTTTGTAGTTTATTTCTTCCTCCTCCGTTATCTACTCCTTGATATTCAGGTTTTATAGAATTAAGTATATTTTCAAAATATCACAGAAACGTAGTGCCAATTTGTCTTTAAAGAATCAAGGGTGCAATCTAAGAATGTAATAAAAAGTAGTCAGTTGCGAGTTCTGCTCAAGCTTTGAACTACTTTGAGAACTGGTATACAGAGAAGGGGAAAAAAGAATTTGTAAAAAGTCAGTAGCCTTAATAAGCAATGTCCAGACAGACATGTTTAGACAGACAAAAGTCCTACCGTTCCCTGACGTGTCCAGTGTCTAAGCATGCACAGGATTGCACCTTAAACCAGATTTCAGAAGGCAACTTACATCACTAGCATTTCAGCATCATAAGGAACTCTTGTGGAAAATCTTGTTAAAATATCCATGCGTTTGTGCTTTTTTGGACATTGCTTAGATCTCCCTTATAGTACCATTCAAACTATGAAATATTTTTGAAACTCAAATTGGTTTTAAAATCAAACGTTACTAAAGACTACCTCTCATTCAAAATTTTGTAATTTAAACTTTTGTGCAAATGAAAAATACACTGTTTGCTGAACTTGGCTCATATAGAGAATAGCATAGTTCATCTGCTCTTAGAATCATTTTAGGATTTCTTCAGTTGGGCTTTTTAAATCACATAAATTCATCATTAAAGTATGTTGCTCTGCCTCACTTATGTACTGAGTTATATGACATTTAAACACTGAAAATAGCCTCTTTTTGCTACTTTGAAAGCATGCTGAAAAGCACTTCACAAGTTTACAGTGTGATTCTAAGAAATCACTCCTTCCGGTTCAGTGGGATTTAATCTCTTGTCACAATGCTGAGGGGTTTCCCTACGTTATATATTCCACATGGAAGCTTCCAGGGGAAAAGGTCTGAAAAATGTTTACACATGCTGACACTCCATTTTGAGAACATTCATGCAATTTGCCCAGCCTCATGGGATGTCCCCGCATAAGTGGTAGCTACTGCTAGGCTGGAGCTGTTGCAAACCTCCAATTTTGGCCAGTTCCCATAGCAAGCCATTTATTTATTTATGTACGTACATACATACATACAGTGCTTTTTTTGTCATAGAACGCACCGGAACAGAGTTCCGGCACCTTTTTTTGACAGATTTTCCAAGTTTTAAAAGTAACTTTTGAAAATTTGATGTTTGGTCCACGTGCATTTGAATTACCCTGTTGAGTGTAGCAGGTTGGCGGCAAAATCATTAAAACGGTGCATGTGGGCTGCTTGTGTGTTGAATCCAATGCATACATACTTCATCCCCGCTGGTTGTGATGGGGCTGCTCGGCTTGTGATGCTGCTCAGCTTGTGATTGGTCGTGTGGTCGCACACTGAGTGCTTACTACAGGCGATGACCGTTATGTTTCGTTACACAACTGACGTGTGTGGGTGTGTGTACAGTGATTGACTACGTGCGAAATGTAAATAATTTCATGAGTTCCGGCACCTTTTTTCTTACAAAAAAAGCACTGCATGCATACATACATGTATAGGTTGCCTATAATTGCTGAGGCCTTGCTAGGAGGCTTATATTATAAATACTTAGCATATTCAACTTATGCTTCTTAAGGTGTGCTGGCTGCTTGTGTTTTTCTGAGTCAAATTCAAGATACTGATTTGGATTTTTAAAGCCCTTCACTCAGAGGAATTGTTAGACCAGAGCCTGTAGTGCTCTAGTGCAAATGTATTAGGTGACTATTAGTGTAAACAATAGATACTTTGCTTAGTGTAATTGCCAAACATGGGGCAATTTCAAGGTGGATTGCATCTAGGGAGGGAAGGATTATTCTTTCAGTCCTTACATACTGCAAGTCCCTTCCAATCCCACCCCCATACTCTTCCTATATGACAATTAAAGTTAGAAATGCTTGCTTTGAGATCTTTTGGGGCAGGGTGTACCTTAAATGAATAATTTATTTAATTTGACATCTGAATGAGAAATTGACTGGCCATGTGCAATATAAATGTATCCTAGTACTGATTTCAGCTGTGGGATATTCAGATATAAATCAACACACACTAATGTTATGCATATAGGCCTGGGCCCCAGCTCATTTATGCAACTAGTAATACCTTGACTGTAATGACCAAGCTGCATACCTTAGGGTCTTGTGCCCTCCAGAATGTTTTGAATTTCAACATCTGCAACCAAGACACCCAATTGTCAGGCACTCTGTTATTTGCAGTTTGGAAAATCTAGAGAGCAGCAGGTTGAAGAGGGCTGCCCGACTACCAGCCCTGATGTTGCTCAGGCTCTGTTTTTACCTTCCGCAGAAGCATAACATTTAATAGCGGGACCTTTCCAGCAGCGGCCCATATTGTAGAATCACTTTGAGGTTGTGTTCGGGAGGGGGGTGCGGGGCGACAAAGGGGCTTTGCGCGTGCGCGGGAGCCGCATGCGACTTGGCACATTTTGAAATGCTTGCCGCTTGAACAAAAGACGGGCAGCCGACACGTGTCTGAATGCCGCGGCTGCCTGCTGTTGCCGAGTTAATTCGCCGCGTGAGCTCAGCAGCGTTGCGTCAGTCGCCTCAGGAGGCCGCCGGCCAGGCAAATTGTGACGACGCCTGGGCGGGAAAAGAGAGCTGGCCGGGGGAGCGGCGGCGGGTGCTCACACTGTTCTCCGCCTGCCCGAGGGGGATCCCTGCTGAGCGGGCGATGGGAGAAGCTCCTGCCGCCCTGTGTGCCCAGCCGCAGCCGTCGTAACCATGTCGGGCGCCGCCAAGCAAAAAGGCTCGCTGGGGTTGCCGCCGCAGGCTCCGGGGCCGGGCCGGCGGGACTCGACCGACGAGGCGCCCACCTCCGCGAGCTCCTCTAAGCGCCCCAGCCTCAGCTCCACCGCGGGCTCGGTCGTCTCGCACTTCTCGGTGTCGACGCTGCTGGGCCTCCGCGGCCTCGCCCCCGCTTCGAGCGCCACCGCCCCCGACAAGGCCAAAGGGGAGAAGGCTCGCTCCCTCCTCAGGGTACCGAAAGCCGCAGGGTTGCGACCGTGCCGCGGAGGGTGATGCTGGGGCCCGCCGCCACCACCTCGTTTCACTCCGGGGATCGACCTCTGGAACCATGCTGGCCAGGGGAGCAGCCCCAAGTGCACCTGGGCAGGTGCAGAGTGCATGGTTCTCCTCTTTGCTGAAAAACTAAAGATACCATGTCCGCAAGGGTAGCCTGTTGCAGCAAGACACAAATTGGTGCCTCTCTCTTAAAGGAGAGCAAATGTGCGATGAGATAAAAACCATGTTAGGCATTAAGGTGCCAGGACACTTTCTGTGGTTTTAACAGTCTCAGAGCACCAGGGAAATAGGCCAGAGCAGACTTTCCCAAACTGGTGACCACCAGATATGTTAGTTACAAATTCCACTCTCTCAGCTGTCAAAGGCTGACTGGTGGATTTTGCAAGTTGTAGTCCAATTAATCTGAAAGGCACAAGGTTGGGAAAGGGAGCCTTATTCTTCACATCACTGTACTCTGTAAGAGACTTATTAGTGTACATTAATATCTTTCTCAAACCATATTTATACAGAACTCAAAACCAGTAACAGCAATTCTATTCTGGATTATACTATTCTAGTAAAACACAGTTTGCATTCTACAAATATGGAATGGATCCTACACTATAGGATGCTACATCTCTACTAAGGTTTCCCCATGACGTTAAAGTCCAGTCATGTCTGACTCTTGGGGGCGGTGCTCATATCCATTTCCTAGCAGAGGGAGGCAGCATTTGTCCACAGTTTCCGTGGCTATGTGGCCAGCGTAACTAAACACCGAGGTGCATGCAACGCTGTTACCTTCCCACTGAAGTGGTACCTATTTGTATGCTTTATATGCTTTCAAACTGCAAAGTTGGCAGGAGCTGGGACAAAGCACAGGAGCTTACCCTGTTGTACGGATTTAAACTGCCAACCTTTTGATCAACCAACTCAGCAGTTTAAACTGCTGCACCACACGCAGTCCCACATCCCCTCTACCAAATCCAAATAAGATTCAAGCACAGACATGTTGTCACCTTCAAGATCCAAGTTGAAAGTGTGTGGGTAGATCTGGCTGTTCCCTAGCCCTCCACCAATCCAGTGAGAGGTGCAAAAAGGTCTTTTCCTAGGGGCAACTGTATGTGTGTAGGCCTTGTATGTGCAGTTGGGATACTCATCTGAAGAGGACGGAACAGACTAAACTGCATGGAAGATCTTTCGTGCACACCTTTGGTCACATGCAGAATTCTGTTCATGTTTATGTGGAAGGACAGGAGGTAGGCAAAAGGCTGCAAGCCTGCTCACCTCTCTGCACATCCAGTTGACACAATTAAGTGGGTAATGCATGTGAAGCGGAAGCGGAATCTTTGTGACCCAAGGCTCCATCCTGTCTGAGGCTTGGCGCTCTCTGAGCTAGAATGCTGACTTCTATTATGAGGTAAACCTCATGCCCCAGGTTTTGACTGTTAGGTACCAAAGTACCCAATGTTCAGATTTCTCCTGATCCGTTTGCCTTGGGTTACATGTGTACTATATCATAGCCTTTTGGGTGGTCTAGAAGTGCCTTAACCAGGTCATGTTCCCTATTTCTAGCAAGAACTTCATACATGTTTGCTTCTTCTGTTTCAGATCAACTGCATCCACCTTCTGTCTTGGGCTATGTTTGTACCTTATTTCAGCTTTTTTAATTACTTCAGGAAAGTATAACTAGTTACAGTACATTTAATACTTTCTTTTTCCCAGTTAGTAATCAGCATTTACTACTTTTTCAAGATTTTTCTTATCTTGATGTGGGGTCTTGACTTTGCATCCCCAGAACTACAAAGACCTGGTGGTGAGCTCACTTTCAGACTTATTATTAAAGCTACTAGTTCACCTGAGTAAAAAGATTGATGGGTTTTGACGGGAGAAGAATTCTATTAGATTTTCATGAGGGTACCACTCAATATCTTCATTTCTATTTTTGCTTAGTTGGCCCATGGAAATTTTTTTGTCATGGTTTTAGTTTCCTTATGTCAAGCTCTGTTCACCCCCAAACTACTTCTGGTGGCCCTGTCAGTCTACCTGCCATATTAATGTGACTGACCTACCATTTCGGAAGTATTGCTTGGTTTTGCCTTTTACAACATTTGACAGATTTTATTTAATTGACATGCCATGTATTCTAAACTTTTTCTACTTCCCAAAGCCAGGCAACATAAGTTGCATAACAGATCAAATGTTATAACTAAATATGTTTGATTGACATAACTTGTTACCAATTTAACTCTTGTCCCTTCCAAGTACCAAAATCAAGAAGGGAAGAATTTATGGGGCCAATGACTGTCTCTTGTGCTGTTTCCAGCAATTTGCAGTCTGACCTTCAGAAGCATGCTGTTGTTGATCCTGGAAGGGGCATCTGGCCATCATGACAAGACTATTGACAGCCTTATGCATCTGATCTCTTTCTAAAGCTACCCAAATTGGGGTCATCTCCACATCCTGTGGAAGCAAATTCCATATTATATGTGAATAACGCTTGTTCACTGGGTGAACCTGGATCCTTGTCTTATGTGAGGCTGTCCACTTTCTCTGCATTATGCAGATTTGTATTGTTCAGTTGCAAAGTCGTGCCTGACTCTTCGCAACCCCATGGACAACATTGCTCCAGGTATGCATATTTGTATATGCATCTTTTAAATAGCCCAAAGATTT